GTCCCCTAGGACCCACTTTTGTTGACATACTTATAAGCTATCTAGAAAAAAAAGTTTCCATAAAAGTGAACAAGACAACACTCTGCAGAAGATATGTAGATGACGTCTTCGCGATCGTTGACAACATCACTGAAGCTGAAATTTTATTGATAACAATAAACGGCTTCTATACCAAGATTAAATTTACCATGCAACAGGAACGGGAGGACCAGCCATCCTTTCTAGACGTTCACATGTCCAGAAAGAAAGACGACTCTATTATACAAACTTCCTTCGATAAGAATGCGTGGGAAGGACAGTACCTGCATGATTTGAGTTTTGTTCCCATTCGATGGAAATGAAACTTGGTATGTACTCTCTTCCAAAGGGCGAGAAAAATCTGCTCTATGGATATATTGGAAGCAAAAATAGCCAGCCTCAAAGAAACCTCACTCAAGCGTGAACATCCAGCACAGTTTATAGACAAGCACAACAAACCCTTACAGCCTAAAATGACGGAACAGTCAGTTGCCAAAAAGCTTGTCTTTATATCCTTGCCCTTTAAGGGCGACAACATTTTAAATACCATCAAGGGACGCCTACTTAACAGCATTGTAAGGACACATTATACGACTGAACTTATATTTTGCAACCCAACTAAGCCCTTACCAATTCATTGTGCGAAGGATGCCTTGCCGTTGCACGCCACTTCAAACCGTGTTTACGAATTTACATGCATTTGCGGATGCAAGTACATTGAGCGAACGCAACGGCAATTGGCCACCAGAGCTAAGGAACATTTGCCTAGCTGGTTAATGAAACAAGAAAATAGAACTCCCTGTTCATCGATTACCGAACATCTGCTAGATACGAGCCATGCTGTGGCCCCTAAAACTTCCTTCCGAGTACGTGTTCGGGCACCAACAACTCGTACCTTGCGCTGCCTGGAGGCAGCCTATATACGGCATGAACTAAAATTTTCTTTCGTCATCTTATATGACGACGTTATGGAGAATTTCGTGGCTGGCATCCTGTCGTTTAGCGAGGTGAAGGCTGTCAAATACTCTCAAGCCATCGAGTCTAGGCCATGGTTCCTTTCTAATCCAGCAGAGAAGTCCCGCTATGAGTACCAGCGCCCAGATCTTCTTCCCGACAACTGATCCTACTTCTACTGCCAACGACGTCTCTAAACCCAATCCCTACTGATTTGCCATCGATGCACAACTCAACCACCGGGTTTCTCCGCCCCTGACTCACTCATGCCAGCCACAGCCGGCCGCGCTGTTAATCAACCCTACCTTTGGTACGTATATCATTCACTATTCCTCTTCCGTTCGGATTCCTTCCTAATCCGAAATTCTGTCAAGGAAGAGAGCAATTGTGGTGAATCATTCCGCGCAAAGGCCCACCACTGCTAACGAGTGCACGCGCACTGATGGCGGCCT